TAGGTCGCAGAGCGTCTCCTGCGCACGCGCAGGAGACGCTCTTGCACTTTCGGGGGGATTTAAATATCCCCCTGAAATTTTTTTCAACTTTTTTAATTTTTGTGCACACGTGGGGACTGACCCACGTGTGCACAAACCTCCCCCGGCCCGCCAGCTGCCCCCGGAGTGCTGATTTAGCGATCCGCACTCTGGGGGCAACTTCGCTATTAGATATATAGATGCATGGGATAGAGCAGGTAGAGAAAGAGGTACTTTTCTCCCTTTCTCACAATACAAGAACTCATGGGCACTCAATGAAATTGCTGAGCGGTCGGGTTAGAACGTATAAAAGGAAGTACTTCTTCACCCAAAGAGTGATTATTAACACATGAATTAATTGCCACAGGAGGTGGTGGCGGCGGCTACAAGCATGGACGGCTTCAAAAGGGAATTAGATAAACATATGGAGCAGAGGTCCATCAGTGGCTATTAGCCACAAGGTATAGATAGGGACTCTGGGGCAAGTGATGCTCTGTCTTCTTGGTGCTTGGGGGAGGGTCAACAGTGGGAGGGCTTCTAATGTTCTGGCCCCACTGGTGGGCCTCCTGATGGCACCTGGTATTTTTGGCTACTGTGTAGTGTTGGACTGAATGGGCCTTTGGCCTGATCCAACATTGGCGTCTCTTATGTTCTTATGTTCTTATGAATCTGAATTCTAAAAATAAATATGCTGTCATAATTACAGCCTAAAAGTACAAAAATAGGAAATATTGATAAGATAAGGTACACATTTAACTGCACAACCAAATGTTTCCATATCGCTTAGCACCTACTACCATGAGTCTAGTTAACATTTGGCAACTAGAATGATAAAAGGGTTGGAACACTTTCCCCATGAAGAAAGGTTAAAATGCTTGGGGCTCTTTAGCTTGGAGAAATGATGGCTGAGGGCTGACATGATTGAGATTTATAAGATTATGCATGGGATAGAGCAGATAGAGAAAGTTTTGGCCTGATCCAACATTGGTGTCTCTTATGTTCTTATGTTCTTATTATGCCAGCCAGCAAGGGTGGAGGCAAGGAAGGCCTGTCTGGAGGCCTCCCCAGAAATGAGCAGTGAGAGAAAGGGTTGGAGAAGGATACTGGGGGAAGTGATGCTCCAACCCCTGGCCCAGATAAATGGCTCAGGCCATAGGGGAGGGACATGGGGTGCCATACTCTGCAGGAACACTGCTTCAGGATAGAGAGGAAGGACTTGGGTGTTGCAACCCTGTGCCCCCTTTCCTATTCTTAGGCCTAGGGAGATGCTGGTGAAGTAGAGGAAGAGCCTCAGAATTGATGGTCCTGTTTTCTAGGTCACAGCTACTGTACATATAAGCAATAGTCTTCTGCCATTCCCCTATATCCAGGCATTTAGAATTAGGGCTACTTTCAGAATTATATCACACCATGGATGTTACAATTTTGTGGGGGGTAAGAGGAGTGAGCCCATCCAAAACAGGCGTGTACTCACTTTGAGAAACTTGTGGGACCATGTCATCACCTTTTTTGTCTTGCCGGTATTTTCCTTTTTTCCTCAACCAGTGAAAAATGTCTAAAAATGAAGTTCAATTTACCCCTCAGAATCTTACCAGATGTCAGCCAGTAAAAAATAGAGTTATGATACCAAAAGCTGCTGAGGTGTAGGAGTGCCAACTGGGTATCAGTACCTTGCAATTATCTAAATGTAGATCATATACCAGGCCTACCAGGGTAAGTGAAGTATGACTGATGAATCCAGAAATGTCTGGAACTACAATCACCCATGCAGTCAGAAGTGAAAGAATGAGAAATCTGGAGATTGGCAATTATTTGTCTAGATGTTTTGGATAGCTTTGTAGCTTCAAGATAGATAGCAAAACTTTCTTTAGTGGACTGACCGTTCAGCATTTGATGGACACTTGTCTTTAACTCTACCTCTTTCAGCTGTAATGGACCAGCCAAGATGAGCAGTGATCAACAGCAGAGGTGTATACCTCTACATATGTAGACAAAACAAACTGCAGTTTGCCCCAAGAAGAGCCGGGCAGGGGTTAAGGATAGCATAAACATGGACTCTGTGTTAACTGTGGCACCCTAAGCTGCTTGAATGCAAGAGACTCTATGTACAAATCATCCAACTAAAGGGTTGCGTCAAGGAAGAGAGCTGTGGATGGGAACAACCAGGAAATAACCTCTTCAGTACATTCTTTCATATTGGGAAACTTCTATAATTCTGCATATTGGCTGCATAGAAACTCTTTCGCTTGCTGATACATTCCTGTAACAGATACATGTTTGCAGAGCCTATAACAAGATCTGGGCATAAAATACTGCATAGTTGTGTGTAAAGGTGAAGAGAGCATGCATGCGCACATACACTTTCAGTGTACTTGGATGGGGGGAGAATTGCTATCCTCTAGGTAGCAAGTGTATGTGGAAACATATTCCAATTTTGTGCCAGTCCAGCAATTTTATAGTATGTAAACTTAAGGACTAAATGTATTAATTCCCATCATTACATGCCTTGGGGATAAATTTGCCTGCCCTAGGGGTATTTGACAACATTATAGGCATATTATGTAGCCAATAAGATACTTCATTATGGCTGATACTAAAACCTTTCTCCTTTTATTTCAGGCAATCCTTAACTGTATAGATCTTATAATATTTTCATTATCTGAATCAGTAGGCGGGAGGCCATATGTCTTTTGTTGAACACCTATTTCCTTTTGATATTAAGTGTCTCCAATCTATGCAGGTTTTTTTGTTATCCACTGCAGTGAGGGAAGTTTAGGTTTCATAATAGGATGGTTTAAAAAGTTCATTTACCTTTTATTGAATTAAGCTCTATATCCTATGGCCAATAAGTATAGTATTGCATTTGAAGAAGTGTAGTGCCATTTAAGATACCACTAGGCTCCTTTTTAAGTATAGTACATATACTTTATAGCAAAGTTGTTGTGGCTAAGAATGCTGTCATCTTTAGAAGTTTAGTTTCACTTTTAATGTGACCAAAAGCCATTTTTACTGGACTGGTTCCAAGTCTAATGTAATCCCGGGTCTCTGATCTGTATTCTGGAAGGCTAATGGAATAGTAAAACCTTCTTAAAGATACTTAAATGTGTTGAAGAGTATCCTCAGGGTAGCTTTTCCACTAAAGATGTTTTCTTTCCCACCCTGTAGAGGTATCTCATTAGGGCACCCACTAGTGTCATTATTAAGTTTTTATGTGTTTCTCAGTTTTGATGCTAATCTTTGTGCGTGCATTTAATTCTGTTCTTTGCAGCACCAATGTTGTTATGAATTATTCAGAAATCGAGTCTAAGGTTCGAGAAGCAACCAATGATGATCCATGGGGACCTTCAGGGCAGCTCATGGGAGAGATTGCCAAGTAAGTGATAATTTGACTCACACACACGCACATATGTATATTTGTAAATTCTTCTTGCTTCATCACCTCAGAAGAAGATACGTAGATGGGATCCAGGAAAAAAGGTGGTAACAGTTTAAGGCGCACTGTCAAATTGGAATGATGGCTACAAGCAAGTGTTTATTAAAAACTGTTTTCATGATGCATTATAATTTATAGCATAGGTGGTTCCCTTGAGTCTGTGTCTTGCAAAGTTTCTTGGGCTCCTTAAATATAATGGCCTTCACAGAAAAGCCAAGTGAATGGAATGATGGCCTAACATAATAAGGGCGCTCCTTGTTGTTTTCATTATTTCATTTTTAGTGCATACAACTAATCAGCATTGCTAATCCAGTGAATAACTGTGTATATGAAATATTTGATACAAATGTTAATTCTTCATTGGACAGTGACTCTAATTTAGAGCAAGTGTGCCATCTGCTGTCAAGTGTTGGTCCTAGCAGGCCATTACCGAAAACCACACACTCAAGATATTTCCTTTTTCTGTTTTTTGTTTTGTTTTGTTTTGTTTTGTTTGTAATTTTCAGGGCTACCTTTATGTATGAACAGTTTCCTGAACTCATGAATATGCTTTGGACACGAATGTTAAAAGATAACAAAAAGAACTGGAGGAGGGTATATAAGGTATGTTTGTGAGTTTCTATGAAAAAGATTTTATGAGCTTTGAAAAGGTTTCTTTTTTAAAAAAAATTACACATGCTGAACAAAAGCAGTGGTGTTTATTTTGTTGTGTGTATCACAGTTGATTTCAGTTTATCTTTTCATTAACAGCAACACAATCCATGCAAAACTGTCAATTTCCAGATTCTCTATGTGTGCTTAATACCAGCTGGATTTTAAACAAGTGGGTTCTTTATGCACCCTTTTAAAGAAAAGAAGCCTGTATCATAAAATCAAGAAATGTTTGTTTTCGCTGAAAAAGAGTACTTTACTTTAATTTCCTTGCAGTGTAAAGTACCAAATAGGTGGTCATCCAACAAGCAAGTAGACATGATAACTCTGGTGTACTGAAATATTTCTTCATATTTTCCTTTTAAAAATGTTTCCATTTGGAAACAATTTGGAAGCTGAAAATATATTTACATTAAAGTATTTATGCTTTGTGCTTTTTTCCCTTCCAGTAGGCATATTCTTATTAATTCTATAATATCTGATACATAACTGAAGAGAAGGAAGGGAATGAGTTGCCTGTTTTATACATGACAATAATATATTTAAGAGAAAATATTTTCTTGTGTTTCCTGTTTTTCCCCAGTGAAATGAAGTGTGTGCTACACAATACTTTCTGTGTCATATAGCATTGAAATTGTTCTTAGGTTTAAAATATGTACTCAACAAAATTACCTCTAAGTCAAGGTTACCCTTTTGGTATTGATTTAGATTTTGCGTCACAGTAATTGTTTTCCCTGAATTGTAATGTAAATTAATTTTAATGCTGTCATGTATACAATTTAGTGTTCTTTGGGATACTTGGAATTATCTGCCAGCTTTCAGTTTGTTACAATTTACAAACATGTTTCTCTTGACATTAGAATGATTGCTTTAGTAATGACAACATTAAAAGGGGGGCCAAGAGAATCTTGGAAGTTTCAGGAAGTTCTGAAAATTAAAATATTTTTCAACTTAGTTTTGTTTTGAAGTTTGCTTACATTTACCAGAAAATACTGAATTTTGTACATCAACACACTTCCTGCAGAACACTACATAGATAAATTGCTATAAAAATTGCTTTTAAATGGAAAAACACTGGGGAATAAGGCAATTGCCAAAAGAGAGACACAAAAGAAAATTGTTTCATTCTGTAGAGTTCAGGTTTTTTTCTTAAATTGCCTTAACCATAATTTTTCCCCCTTCTGGAGAACAGTTATTCTTCAGGCAAATTACTTATGATTTAATGTTCTACGTTTTTGTCTTAGTGATAAAATGCAGTTTTAAATTCTCGCAGTATATTGTGAGAGGTTGTTTCTCTAAGACACAACGTGCTTATGGTTGGGCTTATTTAGTATGAACGAATTCTGCAACTATTTACTAATTTTATTACAGTTGGAAAAAATACTGATGGCTTTTGTTCATGCAATCATAAGGTGCTTTGTATTTTTATAGTCTCTGCTGCTCCTATCTTACCTCATAAGGAATGGATCAGAGCGTGTTGTTACAAGTGCCAGAGAACACATTTATGATTTGCGATCCCTGGAAAATTACCACTTTGTAGGTGAGCAATAGAAAAATCTTATAAGCAAATTAAAACAGTAGTTGGAGTTGTCAGTCACCTGAACCAGCTTAGAAGCTTCCCTGCTCTAATTAGAATGTGACTGTTGCCGGTTGTGTGAAGAGTGCAGAATGCAAGACGTAGGACCCTAGAGTATTAATTAGTGAAGACAAGAACTTGCAGAAAAGACTGGCTAATAACAACAGAACCAACACAACATGAGTGTTCGGGTTTATATTAAAATATGCACTAGAGACTGGTCCCCTGTGGTGTGTGTAAAGGAATAGCTTTAATCATATGGGAAGAAAAGGTTAGAGCTCCAAAACATACACATCTGTTTGAAGCTGGGGATTTTTCCCCTCCCACCAAATAATATTTACAGTGCAAAGGCAGCAAGGCCAGTGTGTGTTCTGAATAAGAAAGAGGCTTGGAGAAACGAAGCAAATTTTAGTTTGCACTACACTCCAGCTGACAGGATACAAATACAAATTTAAAGCAGCACAGAAATCTAGCAATTAGCATTTGAAAAAAACTGCTCCTAGAACTACTAAGGAGAAAACTTTTGTTTTAAATGAGTTAAAATTGGTGGAAAGTGTATTTGTGGACATAATCTGTTTAAATCTGTTTTCAATTTTTTAACAGAGAACAAATTGAAATTCTGAAAACCTGTCCCTTAGTTTAAGATGGAATTTGTTTGTAAAATTATTTCATTATAGACAGTTGCTTTGGACTGTCATAATCTTAACATTTGCATTCATTTTGTATCAGTTTCATTAAGTCACTTAATACTTAAAACTGGTATTCCAAAACTTCTTCCTTTTTCTGTACGTTCCTACAGATGAGAATGGCAAAGACCAAGGTATAAATATTCGTCAGAAGGTGAAAGAAATGGTAGAATTTGCCCAGGATGATGATAGGCTTCGTGAAGAAAGAAAAAAGGCAAAGAAAAACAAAGATAAATATATTGGGGTTTCTTCCGACAGTGTTGGAGGATTCAGATATAGTAAGTACAGTGTTGTGGAAAGGGAATTGCAGTTAGTATCCTGCAATGTTAGCTTGGTTCTCTGGGGTATGTTGTAAGAAATAAATGTAAGTGTTTTCAAATATTTCTCAGTACCACAATATAAATATAGTGGATATTCGCATATCCGGACAAGGTGGGAAAATTAATTTAGTTTGTGACTAAAGAGAAACCTTCAGAAACATTCAGTTGGTCATAGAAGGACTACTTCACTGGCAGCAAATGCCACAATTTAATTACTCATTGAATGAAGAAATACTTCATTTGTTTGTTTGTATTTGTTTGTGGAATAACTCTCTCAAAGGGTAGCTCTTTTAAATTTAATTTTAAGTAATAGAAGAGCTGGTAGATGAGGTGAAAGTGGTGGACATGTTCAGGGGAAGCAATCATATGTTGTTAGAATTCAGCCCTACTGTAGGGCTGCTTTTAGTAAATGTAGAAACATAATGGGAAGGATTTCATAGGAAAGAGAGTTGGAAGGGAAATGGGCAAGTGAAGGTAGGTTCTTTTTAAAGGTGGTTTGTTGTGGGCTCAAGCTATTGCCATTCCCATCAGAAGAAAACATGGTAGGAGATCCAAGAACCTGATGTGGATGAACAGAGGGTCCTGTGTTGCGCCAAAGGAAATAAAGGTGTATGTTTAGGGAACGGAAGGAAGAATAAATTACCAAGGAACAGTACCTACAGGTTGCTAAATGGTGTAGGGTGGTTGTTAGGGAGGCCAAAGCTCAGAATGAGCTAAGATTGGCTGAAAGCACACAATAATAACTTTAAAAACCCTTCTATGTGAGGAGTAAATGGAAGGTGAAGGAGGTGATAGGTCCACTATTGGGTGAAAATGGAGAAATTCTGATGGATAAAGCGAAGGCAAAGAGGCTTAATGCCTATTTTGCCTCAGTCTTTTCTTTGACAGCGAGTAGTGGCCCACTTTGGGATAGTGTGCAGGATTCAGGTTTGCAAGAGGATATAAATGCTGAAGTCATTGAGAAGTATTCAGATGCTTTGGAGGGGTGTAAGTCCCCTGGACTGGATGGTGTCCACCCAAGAGTGCTTAAAGAAGTAGCTGGGGAGTTGGCAGAACTGTTATGCATTACCTTCAAGGCTTCTTGAAGGATGGGTGATGTGCCATATGATTGGAGAAAAACGAATATTGTCCTGATTTTTAAAAAGGGGAGGAGGAGGATCCAGGAAACTATAGGCCTATCAGTTTAACCTCTGTCCCAGGGGAAAACTTGAAGTAGATTTTTTAAAAGCTGATTTGTAAAAATTTAGAGGATAACTTGGTGATGAGAAGTATTCAAACTGGATTTGTCCCTAATAGGTCTTGTCAGACTAATCTCATTTCCTTTTTTGATCCAGTGACATGTTTATTAGATCATGGGGATGGTGTGGATATTGTATATTTGGATTTTAATAAGGCATTTGATAAGATTCCCCATGATGTTTTGATTGGCAAGTTGTTGTTGTTCAGTCGCACAGTCGAGTCCGACTCTTTGCGACCCCATGGACCAGATCACGCCAGGCCTTCCTGTCTTCCGCCGTCCTCTGAAGTTTGCTCAATTTCATGTTCATTGCATCTATGGCACTGCTGCAGTTTAGATTATTGGATGGTTAGGTGGATAAGGAATTGGTTGGATAATTGCACCCAAAGAGTGGTAGTTAATGTCTCCTTATCTGATTGAAGGATAATTTCTAGTGGGGTGCCACAGGGCTTGGTTTTGAGCTCAGTGCTTTTTAATATTTTTATCAACAATCAAGATGAAAGTGTGAAGGGACTACTCATTAAATTTGTGGATTACACCGAATTAGATGGGATAGTGAACACTGTAGAAGACAGAGATAAAATACAATCAGACTTGGATACATTGGAGAAATGGGCAGATATGAACGATGTAATTTAATAGAGATAAGGTTTTGCATCTGGGTAGTAAAAAAGTTATGTACATGTATCAGATGAGGGATAATCTTCATTTTATTTTTAAAATTTATATCCCACCCTTCCCAAACAGGCTCACAGCGGGTAACATAAAAGCATATAACAATAAAAACCAGTTAGCACAATCTAAAAACAACTAAAACCAGAAACAGTTAAAATATGGTGAGCAATAATTCTCTGGTGGTCCAGGAGTGGGGCAGTCCTTGACTCCTTACTCCTTGACTCCTTACTCCCCCTTCCGTAGGCAGGGCCGGAAAACTTTGATCCCAGAGGGGAGGGGCTTATCCTCTGACCCCCAATCTTACCGGCCCTGCCTTCTGAGCAGGACGTGCTGGCTGTGCTCTGAAGAGCACGAAGATCCCAGAAGACACAGGAAGGTCAGAAGAAGAAGCAGAGACTTAAAAGAGGGCAATGGGAGAAGATACTTACCTTCCAGCCCCAAAACATATTCGAGAGCTGCGGGCCTCGAATTATAATGGATCCAGTGCCGGCAGCCCTGGGAGGCCCCCAGGCAGTCACGGCACCGAGAGGAACGCCTCGGACCCCGCTGGGAAGGAGGCGGTAAACCGCTCCCCCCCCCATCTAGCCGTGGCGGCGTGCAGAGGTTTTGGGGATAGACGCTCAGTGAAGAGCCTGGGGAGAGCGAAGGCAAGAGAGGCAGCCGAGGGTGGCGCGGAAACTCTGTCGCCATCCCTTTTGGCCTCGGACCCCGCTGGGAAGGAGGCGGTAAACCGCTCCCCCCCCCCATCTAGCCGTGGCGGCGTGCAGAGGTTTTGGGGATAGACGCTCAGTGAAGAGCCTGGGGAGAGCGAAGGCAAGAGAGGCAGCCGAGGGTGGCGCGGAAACTCTGTCGCCATCCCTTTTGGCGTTGGAACGGAGCCCCCCTCCTTGTTCCAGATTGTGGCGTGGAGGGATGCGGCTCCTGCGCAGTCTACCCGGTCGGCTGAAACACGGTAGGACTGTATCCATTGAGAACTGGCAAGGCATGGAGGGGGAGAGAGAAAGAAGACTACCCCCCTCCCATTTTCTTTTCCCTGCCCTTTACTCCTTTCCTCTGTATCTGGATAGGAGGTTCTTTAAAAGGACGAATTGTTTCTGCTCCATGGGTCAAGTCTCTAGGAGGGACATTTTACAGTCATTATTTACAACCTTTAAGAAAGGGAGCAACAATAAACAGCCTACTTCTTCCCCACCGGGTTCGGCTGATGTGGGTGGGGTAGGGCTCCATTGTGGGGTTCTGTTAGGAGAGTGATGGCTACTTTCACTTTCAGGTTCCCCTAAAATGGCTGAGAAGGCAGGAACATCTAGCTCCCAAGGCACAGAGAGTCTGAACCCTTCACAGACCACCAATATAGCCTCCCAAAATACTGAGTCCTCAGGAGAGGAAACCCATTCAAATTTCTCTCCTGGCTTAGAGAGGAAATGAGAAAGAATGCACTGATCTAGGGCAACAGGCAGCTTCTTCCTAGGCTACTGACCTCTCTGGTAAAAGGGACAGGGGTCCCAGTACAGAGGGCAGCCCTTCTCCAAGAAATACAGGCCTCCTGAGCACAGCAAAGGGTGCACACCCATTGTTAGTGATATGAGATTGCTACAGATTTTGAGGATTTAGTGCCAGAAAAAGGTGAGCTATTAGAGCAGGAGGAGGAAGCAGTGCCTGTCATTCAATCTAGACTCTTCCTCATAATCTCTATACTGGAATGTGGGCTAAGGTCATCAGGGCACTAGAGCTTATATACACTCCAAAGATACAGGAAGACAAAGAGGATCCTGGTTTTTTTCCTGTAGGCCATTCTCAAGACCACTACTCTGGAATGCAGATCCAGCAACAAGGGCCAAGGTGGCAGTGGTATCTCTCAAGGGAGTTAAACTTTTCAGAGCAGGCCTGGAACGTTACTTGGTGAAAGACAAAGACAAGTCACAGGTGCTACCATCAAAGAAGAAGGATATGTAATCTAGAAGGAGACCACAGTCCTTTTGAGACCTCAGTCGTGATGATAAACAACAAAAGTCAAACAGCATAACAAGTCTAGAGACAATAGGTCATTCGCCCTCACAGGAAAATCCGGCCAAGGTGTTAAAGGGCCCAAGAAGGGAACTTCAGCATAACTAGGCCAAGACAATGGAAGATATAGACGCAAGAGTACAGCTTTCTCTGGGCAGTGGCACCAGACTGTGTCAGACAAGTGGTTCCTGGAGACGGTGGCCCATGGCGACACACTAGAGTTTGAAAGAGTTTCAAGCAATGTTTCTTGGACATCCCAAGGGAAAGATCACCAGGAAAAATCACAAGATGATGTTACAGTGTGGGTGTAGAGGACAAGGATGAGGATGGTTAGGGGTTTGAAGACAAAGCCTTACGAAGAAAGGCTGCAGGAACTGTAAATGTTCAGTCTGGAGACGAGGTTGAGCGGGGGATATGATCACCCCTTTTAAGTATTTGAAGGGTTGTCATTTAGAAGAGGGTGGGGCACTGTTTCAGCTGGTAGTGGAGGATAGGAGTCATACTAATGGGTTTAAATTACGGGTGGGAAGATAGCAGCAGGTTTTAGGAAAACCTTTTTAACCATGAAGGCAGTTCAGTGGTGGAATCGGTTGCCCAGGGGTGTTGTGGGTTCTCCCTCCTTGGAGGTGTTTAAGCAGAGATTGGATGATTATTTGTCAGAGGTACTTTGGGGGATCCTGATTGATGCAGGGAGTCGGACTGGATAGTCTTTATGTGCCTTCCAATTTATTGATTCCATGATGATTCCTTTGGTCTAGTCTGAATTTATTACCCATCAACTTCATTGGATGCCTCTTAGTTGCAGTGTATCAGGAAAGGAAGACAGAGAGGCTGTCTATTCACTTTCTCCACCATGTATATAATTTTATAAACACCTTCCTTTCAGCTTTCTTCAGACTAGTCCTCTCAGTTTCATAAAATTTTCTGTTTTTAAAATCCATGTAGGGCAACTTTCTCCTGAAATTGTGGTCACTATTCTCATCCAGTGCAACTTTATCTGCATCTCACACCAGGTTTCAAACTCCACTTTGAACCAAGCTGAGGGTTGCTAATCCTGTAGCCAGCTCTGTGACCCAAGTTCTCCACTGCACAGCCATTTATGATATCCAAAAACCTCATCTTTATGACATGATTTTGAGCACACATTTTACCCAGTTAATGTGAGGTCAATTGCAGTCACCCATTATCATGTTTTCCGCTTCCTCACTGGATAGCGCTCATCCCCCCTTTGTGACTGACTGTCATTTAAAGCCGTTAAGATTAAAGATAGTGTACTTTTATGAAGCTATGCTAGCTCCTGTCCTGAAAAGGATTATGTATAGTGTGCTGATACTGAACTTGCAATTAAGCTTAATTTGTGTGTTGTTTTTCAAGATGCTTTGATTCTAGGGTTCTCTCTTGCTCTCACTGAGACTTGCCTATTAATCTCCCACGCAGACTTGTCATGTTAGTACAACCTGATTACATGTTCTGGCCACACACGTTCCTATGGAAAAGTCTGACTTTTTGCAGAGTTTATTTATAAAATTTATACCCCACCTTTCTGCCCTCATCAGGTCCCCTCAAGTTGGCTAACAGATTAAAAATCTACATAATAAAACACATTTTATAAGCCATTAAAACTCAACAAAATCATTCAGACAAAACCAAGTTGCAATAAAATACACACATATAAAAACAACAATTAAATAAAGGGCAGGAAGAAGGAATCAGTGATAGCATACCAGATGGAACAAAAAGGTTTATCAGGTTTAAAGATTTTGGCAACCAGAAGCATCAGTTTCTTTAGAAAGGCTTGTAATTCTTATTGTAAGGGTTTAAACCTCAAATGTAAATTGTTTCTTGTGATAGCTTAAAAATAATAACCTCAGATGCCTAAATTAGTGCAAATTACTCTATGTTCAGACACACAGTCGAGTCTGAAATTTAGACCAGAGCAATTAACAAGATATTTAAACCCAGCACCTTCTGTTTGTGGTCTGCAGCCTTTTGTAGTTCTTGATTCTCTGCATTTGTGAAACAACTTTTATTTTTATGGCTAATTTGGGGTGGTGATAGCAAGTTGAGGAATTAAGGAGCCCTAACTAGCTGATGAGGGGATAAATTATAGCATTTTCCTTAATGGTTTTTGAAGAGCTTCTTAAGTTGGTAATTGGGACTAGAAATATTACCATCTGTTTTCACACTTGTCTTACACAGTTTGGTAGAGCCTCCTTTGGTATTCATGAGCTTTCAAAACATGCAGATCTCTGAATGGCTTCCTGTTTCTTACAGCATCATGGTTGGGAGTGGCATATCAGATTATATTATTATTTCTCATGTTACTAATGTTTTTGCTATTGAGATTGTACTGTTCCTCCATTGCCTGCCTATATTATGATATGCTATGCTGTGCATCAAAATGTATCATAAAGCATTATATTTTGAATGTCAAGTAATGATAATTATCGCCATGGCATGTCTTGCTGTGATAGCATTGATCAAGCACCAGAAAAGTCCTTTCAGTTTGCTTTAAAAACTATAGAAGACCTGTAGTAGAGACAAAATTGTTAACAAAAATTGGTAGTCGTTCAGAATTAATCATTATTTTTCTCCTCTCCTCCAAACTCTACAATCTGCATCTTATATAGGTGAAAGATATGATGCTGAGCCTAAGTCAAAGTGGGATGAAGAATGGGATAAAAGCAAAACTGGGTTTCCCTTCAGTGATAAACTAGGTGAGCTGAGTGACAAGATTGGAAGCACAATTGATGACACCATCAGCAAGTTCCGAAGGAAAGACCGAGAGGATTCTCCTGAAAGATGCAGGTACTTCCTGAAAATGCTTGTTTTTGCATAGTCACTCTTTTTCAGCCCTTCCATAACATATTTTTAACTTTTAACTGGTTCTCCTTTACTTAAAAAACATACTGCTGGTAATCTGGCATTCTAGAGTTATCTTGTTAACAGCTGGGGTTTCTACAGCTGTAATTATAGGTTGTATCCAGCCTAATTTGGCAATTTCTGCTGATTTCCCCCTTCCTGCTGTAGACCTTCCTCATGTCATTCCTTAAGGTCCCCTGTCATCTAGGCATATCATTTCATGGAGATCAGTGGGCTGCTATGGGAGGAGGGAGAAAGGACAGTTCCATTCTGCCATTGGAAAACTGAGTCTGGATCCAGTCCTGTAGGATAACACATTGGAATCTTAAAATATTTTTGGTGTTTTCTTTAAGTTCATAATTTAAACCTTGTCCTGGACACCAGGAGTATGCCTTCCCAAGTGCATTTCCTTTGCAAAAACTCAAGAGTGAGTTAGTATCTCTTATCGCTTTGTCCTTTAAGGTTTCATGATATCCCTAAATGAAAATTAGTTACTATTTAATGGTTTTCTTTACCTTGCTCTATCAGATTTTCCCGCTGGGGTAGCTTTGTACCCCCCATAGTTAACATGGTCCAAGGTACAAAAGTTACCCTAGCTTAGTGTCATTAATAAGTTAAGTTAAATTTCTTTTTTTTTTTGGTGTAACTTTTATAATTTTATGAAAAATTCAATTGTTATTGGTTACTGAATGTGTTTGGGGTGTGTGTATGTTTATAGGACATGTGGTGATGTGCGGTGCATACTGTGACACATGCAGGCTTCAAAATCTATATATCTACCAACAGGGGGCAGGTTGTGCGGATACTTATTTCTGCCAACCGAGGGCTCACTCTCCCCCAACAGCTTTTCCTACATAGTCAGTAGACTTCCTGTGTCTGCAGAAAAATCCAAGAAGTAAAAAAATCCCTTCAGGGAGGGTTGAATTCCCCCCAATACCTTTTGAAGTGGCCTCTGCAGGGATCTAACTCCAGGCATCAACGATGAGAGATAGAGAGAGTAGAACGGGGAGGGGGGCGGGGAGGCTTCTAACT